TTTTTTTTTTTTTCTTTGGGGGATAGGAGGGGGGGGAGGGGCCGTTCCCAGGGAACAAAAATTTTTGTGTGAGTAAAAAGCCCATTTGTTTGTTGGTTGGTTTTTTGTTTGGGTGGGTGGGAGGGAGGGAATGCTGCACCATCATTGGTGGGGAGGGGAAAAAAAGAAAGAATCTTTGGGGCAGGTGCCTCGCGCGCACACACACACACACACACACACACACACACACACACACACACACACAGCACACACACACAGCACACATACAGACACGAGGGGAGCACAAAATATGCCTCCATATGCAAACGCACCATGGATGGAATGAGGTACTTGTTGTCCCAATTCGCGGGCTGGTCCGCAACCTGACACATCGACACACATGGGCAACAGAAATGTAAGCGTGTGTGTGAATGAGACGGCGAGAATGACATGCCAGCTGCACATCTCGAAGCGCAAGAGAATGTCAATGTCAAGAAACGGCGCCAGACACCACGTCAACGTCAACAACAAGAGCAACAACAAGAGCAACAGCAGCAGCAGCAGCAACAACAACAACAACAACAACAACAACAACAACAACAACAACAACAACTTAAACAACAACAACAACAACAACAACAACAACAACAACAACTTAAACAACAACAACAACAACTTAAACAACAACAACAACAACAACAACTTAAACAACAACAACAACCTTCAACAACAATCAAGTGCGCACCATGCGAATGACTTCATCGTTGTCAAAGCTGTCGCAGGTCTTGCCCGTGACGGCAGCCATGATGAAGAGGATGGCAACGATGAGATGAATGATCGTGCTGAAGATGACCAGCAGACCGACAGATCCAAGAATCACGCGACCGCACGCATCCGAGCTGTAGCGGTGCAGTCACAACCAGCCGGCGAACAGGGGGATGTGCACATGTGTATGATGTGCACTGTGAGGGGCAGAAGCGACAGGATTCAGGTAGCATGCACAGTCTACAACGTGGCAAGCTCAACACAACATGTACACACATACACACGCAGAAACACACCGCACACATGCAGAAACACACCGCACACACGCAGAAACACACCGCACACACACACACACACACACACACACACACACACTGAGACACACGACACACACACACACATGTGCACTCGCACACGAACCAAGACGAGCGCTGTGTCGGGTCGAGGTCACTGTCGTACGAGCACGCGCCAGCGACGGTTGCAATCAAGATGAGAGCGCCAAGGCCAATGAAGACGCCAGCAATGGCCTTGGACGCCATGGCCCTGTACTCCTCGTACGGCTCTGCGCTCTGGAAGGTGGATGCAATGTCCGCCTTCTTTTGCGCAATGTTGAAGTCATTGCTGGTGAAATCGTCCGCCTGCTGGCGAATGTTCGCAATCTCACTGTCGAGGTCGGCCTGCACGTTGGCTGCCTCTGTGGTGATCTGCGAGGTCACCATGTCAATCTGGTCCTGCACCTCATATGGAATGTCGTTGAGCACTGCCTCGGCCTCGTCGGCCAGGCCCCGCAGGTCCGAGTCACGAATCATCTGTAGACCATCGATGATGGGCGTGATCACGTCATCCAGCGTGAAGGACGGAACGTCCGTTGGGATTCCCGGGAGGAACGAATCACAAATGACGTCAACCCCAGCGTCCATTTTCTGCTCGACAGAGCACGCAGTTGTGTTGTGTCGTGTCGTGTTATGTGTTGTGTTGTGTTGTGTCGTGTCGTGTCGTGTTATGTGTTGTGTTGTGTCGTGTCGTGTTATGTGGTGTGGTGTGTATGGTGTATTGTGTCGTGTTGTGTTGCGTTGTGTTGTGTTGTGTGTGAGATGCGTTGACCGCGCAATAGAATAATCACGTGAGAGTGCAAAGCAAGGTGAAAATGCATAGCAGTGTGCAAAGCAAACAAACTCACACGCGCACAAGGCACACACACACACACACACACACACACACACACACACACACTGTGCCATGTACCGCGTAGCATGCTGTGCGGGTTGCCTCGTGTGCAGTGTCGAGGTCCTGCAGGGCTGTCTCGAGCTCGCTCAACTTGGCGCTAATGTTGGGACTCAGCGCTTGCACGTCAAGCATGCGCTCGTAGTTTGTGTCCACCTCATCGGCAAGGCTCCGCACCAGCGTGAGCAGCGTGTCAGACACCTCGCCAACGACATCCACAACACCAAACGCAATACCTGCGTTGAGGGTGTCGAGAAGGCCAAACACGCCGTCCAGCACCACGGGGAACAGCACGCCAGGCACGTCCTCAGCCTGGTCCAGCGTGTTGTCCTTGAAGAGATTCATGTTGTCGAGTCCGCTCACCGCCGCCGCCTCCACGTCATCCACGCCAGCGGTCATTTGCGCGTCCGCGGCCACCACGAGGGCGGCAAACGTGATGAGGCACACGCACAGGCTGGCAGTGAGGACCGTGAGCAGAATGCATTTAGAACGCGAGGGGTCCTGCTGGTCCAATTTTCCGCCGCAGCACTCGTGGCACAGGCAGCAGGAGCAGCAGCGGCAGCACGCCATGATGGCCATCACAATTGGCAAAAACACAAACAGGACCAGGCTGACACCGGCCATAATGGCAAAGGGGAGGCCGTATGCGATGCCGTCCGTCTGCGCACGCGACATGTCAAACTCGCTGTTGCTGCGGTAGTACTGAATCTGGTAGTTGATGTCGTTGTACGGGAGCGTGGTTGGCTGGATGAGGTTGCGCCACCAGCGCGCCCCGTCACGAAGGGCGTTCACACCCTGCTGGCTCAGCGTCAGGTTCTCTGGTATCTCTGGCGGGGTGCGTACGTTTGGGATGCTGATGTCATCCACCGTCACCTCTGTTGGGGCAGCAACGCCCACCACTGCAGCAGCCATGAGCTGCTCCAGGCAGTTGGTCGCTGTGTGTGTCGTCGGACAGTTGCGGAAGCGGAGGCCCGTGTTCTTGAATGTGTTCAGATCAACGGTTGTGGCCGGAAACGAGTTGGGGCAGTTTTGCTGAAGGGGCAGGGGCGAGAGAGAGAGAGAGAGTGTGTGTGTGTGTGTGTGAGTGTGTGCGTGCGTGTGTGTGTGGGGGGGGGAATGAAAGTGAGTAACAAGTTCAATATCAAGCACACAAACAAACAAACAAACAAACACACATGAGTACCTGATCTTGTGGAACGCAGTACGATCCGCTGTTGAAGGAGAAACAGCCGTCAACACCAACAGTTGCATTCGGCACAACCGCACTGGTGTTGCACGCGCACGCAACCTGCACCGTCGTCTGGCAAGCTGCCACACACGCGCATACGCGCGCGCGCGCGCGCGCGCGTGTGTGTGTGTGTGTGTGTGTGTGTGTGTGTGTGTGTGTGTGTGTGTGTGTGTGTGTGTGTGTGTGTGTGTGTGTGTGTGTGTGTGTGTGTGTGTGTGTGTGTGTGTGTGTGTGTGTGTGTGTGTGTGTGGAGGTGCAGTTACTCTTCAGTTCCCATTCAACAGCAGGGGCCAAAGAACAGGGGTGACACGACAAGAACAACACCATCAACAACAACACCATCACCACCGCCAGCAACAACGTACACGCTGCTGTTTGTCCCTCGAGGTCTGTGAGCGCGCTTGTGACTGCCGCGCGCGTGAGTGGGGTGCGAGTGTCCGTGTCAACGGCAGCAATCCAAATCTCAAGCACAACATCCGCGCTGGGCGTGCTCGTGCTCGTGCCCTACACGCATTCACACGGATAGGAGTTAGTACGTGACGTTGTTGTTGTTGTTGTTGTTGTTGTTGTTGTTGTTGTTGTTGTTGTTGTTGTTGTTGTTGTTGTTGTTGTTGTTGTTGTTGTTGTTGTTGTTGTTGTTGTTGTTGTTGTGGAGTGGTAAGTGACATGCAACTTGTCCCACGCAATGTGTGTGAATGATTCTGCTCATCATGCACATGCACATGCACATCCGCAACAGGCAACAAGAACCGTCACTACACCCTCCCCCCCCCCAACCCACACACACACACACACACACCAAACAAATAAAAAAACAAAAACAAATAACAACACCAACCCTTACGTGCAATCATTGACTCACGTTTGCAAACAAGCGACGGAGGATGGCAACAGAGAGGTTCTGGTTGGTGTTCGCTTCTAAGACTTCTTCAATGGATGCACGTGCTTCGCGCTCCACATCGAAGAATGCCGTCTTGGACACGCCCTGAATGATGACAGCAGCGGCATCGCTCGTCTGGAACTTCTGGCACGCGCGGTCGGTTGTTGGCGTCGCAGCAACAGTCTGCATGGCGGCGGTGGCGGCGGTGGTGGTGGTGGTGGTTGAGACGCGGGAAGGGCGGGCTAGCGTGAGAGGAAGCAAGGGGTGAAAGCGCAGATGCAGGCACACACACGCGTGCGCGCAACGCAGACACAGACGCAAACGCAAACACAGACACAAACGTAGACATAGACACGCACACACGCGTGCATGTGTAATGTTACCTCATATTCGACGAGGCGGTTACAGAACGTGTACGAGGCGCATGAGACGGCAGCTGTCGCCGTCTGCGCAGCAACGCGATACTCTGTTGGAGAGCACTGCGGCTGTGGCCCAATGTTGGCGCAGCCAAGCACCGTCGTGCCGTTGCGAACCACAAAGCTACGGCCTGTGTGTGTGTGTGTGATGTGTGTGTGTGTGAGTGTGATGTGTGTGTGATGAGGTAAGGTGATTGTGTGGTGAGCACATGTGAGGTGAGTGTTTTGTGAACATGTGCGTGTGTGCGAGTGTGAGCAGGAGATAAATAGCAAGGGGAAAGGGACGGAGGGTGCATACCGTTGACGGTGTGAGTGCCGAACAAGGTCAAGTCCTGGTCAACGACGGTGATGGAGGTGTTGAACTCCGCATACCGGTCCGACAACTGCCCCACGGGGCACGAGCTTGCCGTGCACCCTGATGGAACACGCAACAGAGGAACAGTACAAGAGGCAAAGTGTGCGGGTGAGTGGGTGAGTGGGTGAGTGAGTGAGTGAGTGAGTGAGAGAGTGAGTGAGTGAGTGAGTGTGAGTGAGTGAGTGAGTGAGTGTGAGGGGGAGTAACAGGCGCCAGATCGACCATGATGACTGGAACAAAACCCAAGCGGTAAAGCAAGGGTGACGCAGCTGTGTCCGCCTAAGTCCATGTGCCATCGGCGAAGCTGTGCAACGCGCAAATGCACACAAGGGTACAAACATACGCACACAGTCATACATATACAAACACACAAATACATACACACATACACACATACACACACACACACCTGAGATTGCAGTTGGGTTGAAGATGCTGCCGATGTTGGCGCAGCTTGCGCTCTGGAATTGATAGATGCCAAAGTTGTCCACGGCGCTGTTGGTGATGTTGACCTATTGACCCAACATATACAAGCAAACAAGAGAGCCCCCGAGAAGGGTGAGGGGAAAACACACACACACACACACATACAGACACACACACACACATCCAGACATGCAGACGGTGGCATGCATACAAATAAACAGATGTGCGACACAAATAACGAGGGGGATGATTTCGTGCTGCATACAGTCGAATCAAAGGCGACCAAACAAGAGGTGGGCGCCCGCGACGCAACAGGGTTGCCGCTTCTCTCGCATCGACATGCAGCCTGCCGCGCTCTGTTTGCCCCTCGATCCTCCCTCGGTGGCGAACTCACCGTGACTGTAGCTGGGTCGGATGACGATGACTGGGAGATGGTGAGGGACCCAAAGCCAACAATTGTGGTTGAGACTCGGCGCGCCAGCGTCTGTTGTGCATGTGCCACGGGGGATCCCAGCAGCAGGCACACCAAGCCCACCGCCAGCAGCATCGCCATTGCCGACTTGAACGCCCGCACCATCGCACAGGCTCGCGAAGAGGTGGTGGAAAGGTGTGTGTGGGAAGACGAGGGCAGTTGTGGGAGGTGGAGGCGTTTCCGTTTCTGTCGTCCGCTCGCTCGCGCCTCAATCAAATGGCGACACCACAAAGAGTAGGAATTTGGTCAGGCAAAAACTCCTCTCGTTTGAAAATTTGCGCGGCAAGGCTTCAGTCACAGACGTGTTTGGACAAGTTGTGAAGCAGCTGAGACTTGCCGCACAAACAAAAGCAACAAGCAAGCAAGCGAGAGGTGAAGCAAGCAAGAAGCCATACCACACACACACACAACACAGTCGACGCGAGTGCCAACAACAACGCCAGCGATGAGTTTGTTTGAGCAGTACAAGAGTGAGAGGGGCGCGGAGGGCCGAAAGGCCAGCGCTGCTCGCCCTTCTTCTTCGTCGTTGTCATCTTCTCCTTCGGCTTCTGCGGCGTCGTCATCATCGCCGGCGGGTTCGTTGGACGCGTTTGCGAGGAACCACCAGCGCGCAAAGCAAGCTGCGTTCCACCAAGGCAAGACAACGTCCATGTACGGCAAAGCCAAGGTGATTGCTGGCGGACACAAGAACCAAAGCAGCAGCAGCAGCAGCAGCTATGGTCTGCGCAAGGCACAGCACCTGAAAGCCAAAACGTCGCCACCAACGGGAGCTGCTGGGCAGCAAGGTAAGGTGCGGCGCTCTGTGGCCAAGCCCACGTTGCAGCTGGAACAGCACCTGACGGTGCTGCGTGATTTCGATCTCAACTCGGAGTTTGGGCCTTGCGTCGGCATCACGCGCATGGAGCGGTGGAAGCGTGCACAAGCCTTTGGGCTCAACCCGCCCTTGAAGATTAAGCAGATCCTGGAACAACACCCGGGCAACGACGACTACCAACAATCGTGCGTGATGTGTGTGCGTTGCGTGTGCGTTGCGTGTGCGTTGCGTGTGTGTGTGTGTGTGGCTTGGCTTTCTGCTGTGATACATTCGCGACGTCTCACGCATGCGCTGTTGGTTGGTTTGCGCCTGTGCTTTGTTTGCTCACAGGCTCTGGTACAAGGACGTCTGAGCGATGAGCCACCACAAAGAGAGGGACAGTGTGCGTGCGTGGTATGTGGTATGTGTGCGTGTGTGTGTTTGTCTCTGTGTGTGTGTTTGTCTGTGTGTTTGTCTGTGTGTGTATGTGTGTGTGTGCTTGTGCTTGTGCTTGTGGGTTGTATGTTTGTGTTTTGTGAGACCTTTCGCAACTCTTCAACCGCGTCATTTGCGTTTGTCATGGCTTGTGCACCGTGTTGCCTGCGACTGTGGTGTTGCTTGCTTCCATGTTGTTGCCTGCTTTCTTTTGGATGATTTGCCCTCGGGGTTCTGGTTTGTAACTGCAATTATAATCAACGGTGTGTACATGACTGCGGAAAAGGACAGCAAGAAGTGGAAGGGAAGGGGGGAAGGGGGGACTTGCGGAAGCAAACCAAACTGGGCATACCAGGAGGAGTAAGGCGAAGAAGAAGAAGAACAAGGAGCAGTTCGTGTATGTGTGTGTGTGTGTGTGTGTGCGTGTGCGTGTGTGTGTGATGGGGAGAGAAGACCAAGAGTAATCATGCGTGTGAAGAGAGAGGTCTCCTTGACTCTTGTCTTCTCACGCACGTTGGGCGAGAAGG